TAGAATACGGCATAATTTAGATAAACGGTGCAACCCTCCTATTCTAAAAACTTTTAACATGTTTCCTTCCATTCAAATATCAAAACCTGTATGACTGTACCGGAGCATTCGATGTTAAATTGCAAGGAAAATATTTAAGAAACGTTTCGAATATAACTCGATGTGTAGAAACGAGCACAAAAGGTAAAAATGAATGCAAAAAAAGTTTTGTTGGATTTTCGATTAACAGATTTGCGAAAAGTATGGAGCAGATAAGTGGATAAAAGGAAAAACATTATTTTCTCCAACGTGAGTTGGCGTGTAAGTTTTTACAGAATGTGGGAATCTTATTTATATTCTAAACATTTTTTATTTTCACTTACATCTAACCCACAAATTAGGTATATGGGATAATCTCTTTGAATTGTGAACTAAATTTGAATAAGTAAGTTTGAAAGCAGGTACAAATGTATTGAATGTGAAGTATGCTTGAAAAAAAAACGAAGACAATGAGGGTATGAGAAATTAAATGGATTTGTTAAAGTAACCCCAGTATATGTGCAAGAGCCGTTGATTAGAATATGCAAAATATGTAAATGAGTTGTAATACGGTAAAGTCCGAATTTAGGCTCGTCTAAACACCCTCCTAGTAATTATCTTCGAAACTGTCTTATACTTAAACCTAAGAATGAATTACGTCTACTTGGGTCTTGTAATTTAACTTCTCAAGCACGTTTACCGACTGGAATCCCACTAAGTGAATATGTAACTCTATCTTTATGTAAATATTTAACCAAATTTCTAATTTATGACTGCGGACCATACACGTGGCTGCTAAGGGTGACTCCTTATTTATTATCACTAAAATATTTCACTGAACGGACATCCATTATCACTGCATATACCTACATACTATTCACCATTAAACGACACTTTAAGAGCAATCAGGACATCTATAAATTGAAATAAATTTCAGTTACTTTATTTTTATTTGATTTTCTTGAAACTTTGTGCAGTTATTTATAAACATTAATTGTTTGTAGCAGACACAATATACAAATAAAATTTTATAATATATTTTTTTATTATTAAACCGATTTTTGAAAAAATAACGTGTCATTTTAAATATCTATTATTTTTGTCCCCTTGGGCCCGGCCCTGAGTATGAGGATTTATTTCTACCAGATGTAGGTATACAAAATTTAAGTGAATGTTTTGCCCCTTGTCGTAGTCTAAAAGAAGGCTATTATTTTTATGTTATCAAATAAGATACAAATTTGTCATAAACTTTTAGAGCCTATTTTAAATTAATATAATTTGACGGAATAAATTGGTTCTAACAAATAGTGAAATAATATAATTGGTGTTTAATTCGTAAAAACGAAGTTTTAGATGTTTAAAGAATGGCTAGTTGATTCCCCTGTATAAAATCCCTTGTACATAAAAATAAACTTTTGAACTTGTCACACGTTTTAGTTAACCCTTATCTTTGCATTTACTAAATACCTTAAATGTCAATACCAAAGTTTTAAACAATTTTTTAGTAAATTCTCACATTTTTTACAATAAGTAGACAACGTCGCAGAATTAAAAAAAAAAAATAATTTACATTAAATTTAACTCTGAAATCGATGGTGAAAATGTACAGGGTGAGTCATTTAAAAACATCGACGACATTAAGGCAGTCCCGCTTTAACGAATACTCTGTATAAAATGTATTTTTTTATGGTTACAACCTTGTTCTGTTCAGGTATTCATTTGTTTACAAAAAATCTTAATTTAATTGAAAAGACTCACCATTTGAGATAGCTCATTTCTCCTTTACTCTCCGTCCCATTAGTTGATCCAGTATTTCTTTCCTTTTTCCATATTATCCATTATTTTCAGTAGCTTGTTCCGATAAAATCGCGTCCGGAAATATCTTTTATTCTCGACGACATTAATGATCATCGTATCATGTTCAATTCTATATCAACCCTTTGATACGTTAGATTTTTTCAAAATAGACGTATCTCAGGCCAGTATATCTGCAGCCTTGTCCATTTGATCCTGGAAGGTACATCCGTAGACTATAATATAAATCAAAGATCTATATTGAACATCAATGGACATATACATTCTAAGATCAAACGTCTTTATTGTCAGAGATGAAATGAACATGAGCTCAAACCACTGATATCGTGCTACCGATTAACTCGAAATAGTTGCGGCGATTTAAATTTTTTACGGGTATTCACTGAAAATAAAAAAATCATTATTAGGAAATTTGAAAAATGTTAAAAGGTAATAATTATTCTCTATTTAAGGATTTACCAAAAATTTAGTCTATCTACTATTTTTTATAAGAGGTAAATTTTTATTATTTGTTTTTTATATATCTGTGTCATCAGTTTTGTTGACTAAATGAATTCAAATATTAGGCGTTATTTCTTAAAGAATGTTCAAGGGTAATAACTACGATAAGATGTTAGCATTTTTTGGGTACATTTTGTTGTTTCTTTGGAAATGGTTACCGAAGGTTATTTTTGTCACATAATTCCTACCTTCTCATTATCGTATTCTACCTTCAAACTATAGCTGCGCGGGTAACTGAAGAAATTCGATAGAATATTACGACGCTCTACTATTGAATCTTTTAATGATACATACTTTACATTAATTGCGATTTTTGATTTAAAATTCAATGGCGTTTAACTTCTTGCAAGTCATTCGAAAATTACAATTGGCAAATTAACGACAAACGTAGACATTTAATAGCAATCTCTTTTGACAAAACGGATCAGTTTTGAGTTACAAACTAAGTTAATCAAAAGTTCAGGAACAGGCCTGTGTACGTATTTATATTTTAAGCAGACGTATTCGACCATAAATAAATAAGTAAAATCAGTGCGAAAGCCGTTTCGGCAAACCGGTCTCTCCCTTTTCTACTAATGAACATGTCACCAACAGAATGACTAGTGGTCTTCATTTCCTACAACCTGAAATGCGTGCCCTTTGCTCGTTTTGCAGCCCATCCTGCATACTGTCAGCGATACTGTTTGTTAAAATACCTCCATATTTGGATACAAAACAAACTGGCGTTGTTTTTTGTTCTGTTTTTCGCAGAAACAATTTTGATCGAGTGGCGCAATATGGTAGGATCAACCGCGTTGTCACAATAGATATTTGTTTTTTGTTTTGCGGCAAACGCTTAATTTTAGACGGAAACGTTCGTTTCTTTACTTTTAAATATTTCCCGGTTTAGTAATTGGGTGATAGTTTTCGGGGTTCGTTTCTTTTATTCTCGTGTGTTAGAGATTGGGCAAAAAAAGGATTAGCTTCCCGCTTTTATTGGACGTTTGCTTCGGGTGATTACAGTAGGAAAAAATAACCTTTTCGTGTGCGATAAACTTATTTTCAAAGAAAACTTCTTTGGTCGAGGGTATATAGTGACTCTTTTATTTATGGTATAAATCTCGATTGGATTGGCTATCGTTTTTCTTTTCTACAACTTCGGTAAATATTTTAGAGCGCGAACCATACAACTGCATTAAACCGGGCGTATATATAAATGTCGACCGCAGATACATAAATTATAAGGACTTAAATTTACCTATACCAAAATGTTAGGTAAAACTGTTTATTTATGCTAAGCATTTATCCCACAAATTTAAATTAAAAATTAACGAGTAAAATAGAATACTTAAAAAATCTAGAAACCGAGTCTATTTTTAACCGATTTCAAAAAAGGAGGAGGTTCTCAATTCGTCGCGATATATATATATATTTTTTTATGTATGTTCAGCGATAATTCTTCAACACGGTGTCCGATTTCAATAATTCTTTTTTTGTTAGAAAGGGAGTACTTCAGGGATGGTCCCATATAAATTTAGTTAAAATCTAATAATTGGATCCATGGGAAAATCCTCAAACTCTTCATTTTTTATGTATGTTTAGCGATAATGCTTTACCATCTTGTCCGATTTCTATGATTCTTTTTTTTTTGTTAGTGAGGGGGTACCTCAAGGGTGGTCCCATGTAAAATTGGTTAACATGTGGTGACGGCATCTGCACATTATGGAAGTCGGTTTTTTTAAATTTTTAATTATCACAGATATTCATGAACGCAACTTAAATACTTTAGTGAATCTTTCAAGTACCGAAAAATGGACTAACATGTACGATTCTCCGAATTTTAATGACAAATTTGATAATTTCTACGCAACTTTTTCAAACTATTTTAATATAGCAATTTCTTAAAAAAAAAATCCTTACAGAAAGCATAAAAATAACTTGTATAATCGTGAACTTAAATCACTACATTCTAGGCTATATGAATTATGCAACATTCGTATAACCACTGACAATGATGTAATTAAAGAAAGATATAAAAAATACAAAATATTTATAATCAAAAAGTTAATGAAGCTAAATGTAGGTACAATAATAAAATAATCGCGTCTATAGAAAGTTGGAAAATAATCAATAAAGGTATTCTTCAAAAACTCTAGCTAATGAAATGGTAAATAATAAATGATTCCAATAAAATCTGCAATGTCTTAAATGATCAAATTATTGATTTAGACTATATTATTTTCAATTATAAAAACACCAAATTACAAAATTTTTCAACATAAACATTTTTTCTATCATCAGCAACACTGCAGCAATTGATAAAATAAGAGTAATCCTTTCAATATCCAATGACAACTATTGTTATACTTCCTAATAAACGAATCCTTTCTTGGTTAACTAATGTTATTTTTGTGTTTTTTTGAAGTCGATTTTTTGAAAGTGAATTATATTGTATAATATAAATAAAAATTGTCCTTGGTGTAATCGGTCATAAATTTTATTTTAAATCGTTAGCACCGCACTACCTATGTTTTGGAAAACTTTGTTTCCATCTTCGGGTGCAGTCAAAATTTAAAAACATTAAAAAAACACATAGGGACGATTACAAACAGTTTAAAATTTTTAAAATACCAGAAACCCCATCTTTTTGTTTCAGCGTGTGAATGTGTATTCGAAATAATTATTGTATATTCGAATGAATTATTTTGGTTTTCAGAATAACTAAATTATGATTTTTGTTACAGATTTCCCTTTGCGAAGATTATAGCTTACCTGTAGATCACCTCGCCAAAAAGAGACCGAATAGCATTGCAGTACCTAACCCACATTGCAATATATTCAGCGACTGGATTCTTTCAAGTCCCAACGAAGAAAAAGTAAGTCTAATATAATCTAAAAATCTACACGTATGACAGAAACAATGTGTAAATCTACTTACGAGGAATATCATGCATTACCCAAACTTTTTTAATATGTCCCAACATACTACAATATTTAACTGTAATAACAGAATCCTTAACCTCGTTCTCTGAAACATCTAAACTCTTGCGACAAGATCCACAACATCCTGTCCTTGCTGTTGACATTTCCATTCAGACTACTCCAAAAACATTAACTACATCATGTTCTAAAGAATATAATTTAAAAACTCATTTTCCCAGTTTATATCAAGATCTTCTGACACCAATTGATTGAACCCACCTATATCAGTTCGGCAGTGTGGATAAAGCAACTAATACTTTTTACGAAAGACTATACTATCTTCGACAAAAATACGAAAAAGTAAAAATCCTGAAGATTACATACAATTTAGTAACCTAAGAGCTGAAGTTAAGTCTGTGTCTGATTCTGTTAACATAAACTATTTAAGGACCTCTGAAGAAAACAGTAAAACAAATCCCAATAATTTTTAATCGTTTATAAACTCAAAAAAAGGCGTGTCATCTTCAATTCCAGCCAATATATCATAAACAATGTTAGCTCGGAAAAGTCCCAGGACATAGTTGATTACTTTGCCAGGTTCTTCGTTGAAAATGATATTGCGTCAGGACCATTAACATTCTCTCTCTGTATCTGCAACGTGTACAGGGTGGGTTACCCCACAGCACTTAGGCCTCACTAGTCCCATTATGGGTCCTCCTAAGTAGATAGGCACCTCCTAGATCGGTGAGCCAGACTACAGATTTAATGTAGTTGACAACGTCGCCAAGAGGTGTTAGTCAATTCTTGGGGAACACAAATCTTTTGATAAATGAGAGCGTCGGGCAATTGTAGAGGATATGCTCAATGTCTTTTGTTAGCACCTCTTACAGATTGCGGATTCTGACAGCCCCATAATATGAAGATGTTTCCGTACTTCGCAATGACCAGTCAGAATGAATGTGATCAAGCGCAGATTCTGTCAAGATAAAAAAAAGGTCCCTGGCAAGTCTGCAGCTTCTTGTTTTATCCCATCTTTTTTGAATTTTACTAGGGAATGTTCTTTAAAAAGGTTTGCCACTACCGATGAAGGACCTGGTCCAAAAATATTTGCTTGGCTGCCTTCTTGGCTAGTGAATCAGCAAGATGGTTACCTTTCGATGTAGCGTGACCTCTGATCCATCTTAAGTTGACCACATTGTTGATGAATACTTCGACCGAAGCTACGTAACAGTCTAGTACTAACCCTGAGTAAATTCGTGGTCTGTCCAGGAAGAGTAGCGCTTGTCTGGTATCTGTATAGATGAGCATGTTCCTTTTAGCGATATTATTTGGAGTATATTCCACACCCTGAGCCTTGTTTTGTTTTAGAACCGTCGGTGTAGATATGAATCGTACCTGCTACTTTCGGATGTTCTATTTGTTCGAGTGCCTCCTGCAAAACGCGACGTCTTGCCTTACCAGATCCTACATCAGGTTATATTCCAACCGAGCGGAGCCAACATCCTTGATATAAATATCAAGTGTAGTGAGACTTCCATGGCTCTGATCGGTGTGGTTTTCATGGCTCGTGTTATGTTGAGACATGCTGTTCTTTGAATTTATTCTAGTTTGCGGATAGTTGTTAATTTTTGGGTGTCCAGACAACTGCACCGTACGTTAGCATAGATCTTATGATAGCCGTGTAAGTCCATGCGACGACCCCAGGTGCGTCCCACGGTTTGACGACATTATTCATAAGCAATGTATGCTTTTTTTACTCTGTTCTTTAGGTGTAAGTTCCATGTTAACTTGTTGTCAAAGGTGAGACCTAAGTACTTCACTTCTGTTGTAAAGTTTAGTTTTGTGTTTAGGAGCTCTGGAAGTTTTAATTCAATTTTTATCCTTTTCCTTGTGAAAAAGGCCATTTTTGTCCTCTTGGAATTGATAGACAGTGAATGATTCTTGCCCCACTGTTCTATAATTTAAAGAGCTACTTACATTATTTCGCAGAGTATGTTCTCAAAATTCTCTGTTTGTAGAATGACCAGGTCATCTGCATATGCTATTGTGTAGTGACTGTTATTATTGAGGCGGCGGATGAGGGTGTCAAGGATGATGTTCCACAGTAGGGGTGATAGCACCCCTCTCTGTGGATATCCTCTCGCAACCAAGTCATTTATATTCACATCTTCTACACTTATGTTTACTGCCCGCTTTGAAAGCATGATATTTATTATCCCAGTAACCATCTGTGGAATATTCCTGTTGGTTAGTGAGTGCATTATCTTGGGAAAGGTCGTCTTATCAAAAGCACCTTCTATGTCTATGAAAACAACCAAGGCGAACTCCTTATTGTCCAGGGATCTGTATATCCGGCCAGAAACTATGTGAAGGGCTGAATCAATAGATCTGCCTGGGCTGTATATATGTTGACTTGGGTGCAGTGGTATTGTAATCACCACATCCCGTATGTTCCTTTCGCATAGCCTTTCCAATATCATGGAAAGCGGTGTCAGACTAATTGCCCGGTATGTTTTTGGGGCAGTGTAATCCATCCTTCCAGGTTTGGGTACAAAGACTACTTTTATCTCTCTCTCCATTTTTTGGGGATATATCTTAGAACCAACGAGGATCTGAATATACCTAATAGGTGCGTTGTGAGTTCTTCCAGACCCGACTGAAGTAGGGCTGGATGGATTTCGTCAGATCCTGGCGATTTAATTTTGTTTTCATACCTGAATAACATAGTTTCATTAGAGAACGATCTACTATAACAACTCTCTTCTATTTTAGTTCTTGTGTTCTTAACAAAAAAAAATCAGGTAGACATAATATATACTGATCTCTCTAAAGCCTTCGACAGGTTGGATTATGGCATACTACTATCAAAACTTAATTAGATCGGAACAACATAAATTCCTATATTTCTGGGTCGCACCAAATTTGTTTAATGTCTTGGATTTCTCAAATTTCCGAAATCCATGGCTCTTTTCTGGGTGCTCTTTACTTTTATATCTTTGTTAACGATATCATCATTAAAAAATTTACGATATGCTGGCTATTTCACACCATTGAAAAAATTTGAATGACTACAACGTAACATAAATATTAAACGGTGCGTTGCCAACAAATGTCAATAAATTTAACATAATATATTTCTGTAGAAAAAGAGGCAGTGGTGCAATTTAATTATAAACTTTAGAATATTTCGCTATCAAGGCCTGAGTTGATAAAACATCTATGTGCCTACTACAATCCTAAACTAACATTCGGTACTCATATACATTCTTCTTGGATTTTATAGTTTTTGACTAGGAATATGAAAGATTTTAGAGAGTTTCATTCAATAAATTTGCTATATTCAGCTCTTGATCGATCTAAACTTGAATATGGATGTATTATTTGGATCCCAACTTATAATAATCAAGTAACTCAATTAGAGAGAGTTCAGCGGAGATTTTTTAAATCTACCACTTGTGGATAATATATTTTCCGCAAGAACGCAGAATTAATTTAATTAAAAATTAATTTTGCAGCACAGGTAGGATTTTCCACTCGACCATTCACTGTTAGGCTCTAATTAACAGTGCTGTTCCTAGAGTGGCGTTGGAAAACTGTAACAAGGCCTACACTACGGAGTATTAAATTATTAGCACTAATCTAAACAGAGGACGACGCTAATGGCATATATTATCGAAGCCGAATACACCAATGAAAAAATCTAGTTATTATTTGAATGCGAAATAATTTCGAACTTCAATTCGGTAAACGCTTGTTAAAGGACCTCCCCTGACTGCTTCCGGCAGTTTTCCAATCCATGCTCGTACATAACTTTAACTTTAATTAGAAATTTGTAGAAAGAATTTCAATTTGCCACCCGACCTCTTGGAGTTTCCCTGTAGAACTTCAACAATTTACATTGATTTAACTGCTGGGGATTAAACACGCTGCCTTTCCTATGCTGGTCAAGTAGAGGCAATAAATATAGTTTAAGTTGTTGGGGTTGTTTCTTCCCCTAACGGATGCGAGTTTTCTTGCATGTAAAGAAATGCGCAATGTAAATAGTTAAAGAGCTCTGACCACCGCACCCCTTTGGCCATCCATAAGTTACATTAATACTTTTGTAAATTCACTCATAGACCTTTATAACCCGTTTATATCAAATATCGAAAATAATTGGATTATTTTTTCATTAAAATCTCAAATTGCGTCTTGTATAATTTCAAATAGAAAATGGGTGTCGGTAAAAACTCTCATTGGAGAAAATAAAAATGAAAAAAAGAGCTAGAATCATGAACCTTTTGTGTAGGTACACATCCAACGACGCTTGACGTTTTTTAAGCAATAAATGGTTTGTAAACACGCTGCAATGTCGATTTTAATTAAAACAGGAGATCAAAGAAACACGATTAATTTAATTTAACTTTGAAAGCTGTGCAGTTAAAACAGTAAGCCATAAGCCACATTACACACAATGCGTTCAAAGACATATGCAGGGGTGAATTTCGTACCCTCACGCTAAAAATATTGGCTGTGGCCAGTAGCTTTTAAGCTTTCAGGCACACATTTTCGCCTGGGGTGTTGTTTATTTTAGAAAATATCATATTTTAAGGTTACCACTTGCAGTTTTCTCTCTACAATAACCTTTTAGTCCACAACCCTTTCATATCAGGATAACGACAATAGCGAGGATATAAAATAGGATAGACATAGACATTTTTTTTACTCAAGAAGCTTACAACTAAGACTTCACTGAATAGTATTTTCTCCTTTCTGTTCTAATATTAAAACTTTGGAATCAGACAACTCACAAAAATGGCCAAAACGGTTTCAGGGATCCCAAAACGTAAAGATCTGTCGACAACTCGAGTTCGAATAAAATCATGATTCCTATACTTTCTTTAATGGATACAGAAAAAATTTATAGAAATATGCATTATGATTTTCAATTCTCATCACTAAATATATTAAGATT